AGTCTCTCCTCCAGGGGTCGGTGCTCGAGGAGCTGGAGGACAGGCTGCACTTCTTTGTGGAGGAGTGCGATTACCTTCAGGTAACTCTTCCATTTCACTCTCCCCTATAATTAGAAATATTTTTTTGTACTGTAAGACCTTTAAAAAGATGCTAATCAAAGTTTACTTGTACACCATTTCGTATCTGCCATCTTCTTGCATATCTCTTTGTGCTTCCTCAATCCTTTTTTTCCTTTCAGGGCTTCCAGGTGCTGTGCGACTTGGCTGATGGCTTTGCAGGTCTGGGGTCGAAGGTCACTGAGCTGCTTCACGACTCTTACGGAGGAAGGGGCATCCTAACCTGGGGGTTGTTACCCGTCAGTCACCCAGATTCAGTGAGTGTCTCTTTCTTTAAAAGCAAATGTTTTGTAACGCGGCTTCTTTATTTATATTTGTTGTCTCTGTTTGAACAGACGCCAGTGAAGGATCTCTACCGCCTGCTGAACTGCACTTTAGGGATGGTACACATGGCCAGTCACAGTTCTTTGTTCTGCCCGTTGACCTTGCGAGGTGGTCTGGGAAGACGACCGTCCTCTCCCACGACGTTCACCCACCTCAGTTATGATGTGAGACTGGCTGCAGTACTATTATTGTGTCCTTTGGTCAACAAGCAATTATTTTAAGACCTTGTACCGACTTATTTTATGTTCTATCCAAATGTAAGCACTCAAACTTTAAACTTTGGCACAGCTCTGATTAAAGAGATAATTCAACTCATAGAAACACAGTTTATATGTGCAGGTATGCAGGATTATATATAAACATGTATCTGTCTGTCTTCTGTGCCAGCCCTCACTGTGGTACCACTCCAGTTCTGTCCTGGCTTTGGCATTGGACACCCTTACTGCACCTTACAGGCTGAGAAATAACAGCGTCCCCATGTGGCAGTTGGCAGATGACTTGGCTGTATCAGGGAGGAAGGTATTTAACAATTGTTCGTTTATTTGGGGGTTTTTTTCCTCCCCCTTCAGCAAATATTATTTTATTTTTTTAATCAAGTCATGAAAGGAACCAGCTCGAAGCTCTATAGGTATATAAAGGACATGAAGTCTCACAAGCTAGCTGGATGTTGCAGCTAGGTTATTTATCTGTGGAGATGCCTGAGATTATGGTAACCAATGTTTAAATCACAGGTCGTGGCTGCTTATGGTGCCGTCCCCTTTCCCATGATGCACGGCTCCTCTCTCCCTGACGCCCTGAGCACATACACCGACATACTGCCGTGGAGGCCTCTGTCTGGGTGCGCTGAAGCAGGAGACGGCCGATGCTACGGCCAGTGGGCGACGCTCAAAGGCTTCGAAGGCCAGAAACTCATCAGGTCAGAATGAAGTTATTGAGTCAGTTATATTCTACTCTGACTCTTTAGTTTAAGTTTGCTTCTGCCCCTACGAAATTACCACTGACCTTCTTCATCTATGATAGCTGGTGTGTGATAGACCCCAGCCTCAGAGCTTGTTCCTGTGCTGCATTGATTAGTGCCTTTCTCCACTCTGGTGGATATCTCCCCCCTGAACGTTGTCCTGGGTCCCCCTTACCGTAGCATTCATATTTATCTCTCTCCCTCATGTCCAACTCTTCATACTGGAGGCTTATTTAGCAATAGGGGTCTAGCCTAGGACCCTTACTGCATACAGGCGCCTCAGCAGGGTACCTGATAACAGGTGTTGTCCAGCTCTTCATACTGGAAACCCGTTCTTGGATGTCTGCCACTGTGATGGTTACTGGACTCTCTTCGGGGAGGTTGCTCTGGTGTCTTTATGCTAATGACTTTAGGTTAAACTTCAGCTAAGGTTGTGAATGACAGTTTTGTCAACATTTTTGAATAAACAACTTGCTCCCCCCCCTTTATTCTCTTTTCACCAGCTCGCTGGCTGCAGGAACTAAACCGCCCACTCCTCTGCACAGTCTCCACAGCGGAGAGGACGTCCTGGCTTCCTACATCAGATCCTTCTATCCTTCAGCTCCTCTGTGAGTCTCTGCACTGACACGTGACACTTGCTATTTCTTTTTTTTTTCCTAACAAATTCTCATCTCTCACCCTTGCTCTCTCCATCATCTTGTCATCCCTGTCTCAGGGCTCTGCAGCTGGTTTCTACTCCCAGTGAGCTGGCACCACCTTTCCCGCAGATATTCAGTCAATCCCTCGGTGCTCAGGGCTTCCTGGAGGGCCAGCCGCCCCCGCCTGGAAGTGAGTGTTTTTCTGTTTTTGTCTGTGTGTAACGCAGAGCCGTTCTATTATAGGTTTTCATGAATGATCTTTCTCTGCAGGTACGCCCCGTGTCGTCTCCTCCGTACCCGTCATGACTTCCCTCCAGTCGGGTCCTGCGCTCGACCCCTGGCTCTCCGAGCTGCATCGCGGTGTGAGTGCTTTCGACATCCGCCGTGTTGCCCCCAGCTTCCTTTCTCAAGGGCCTGAAGTGTCAGACTACCAGGAGGCCCTGGAGCAGCTGCGCCTGCTGGCCCGGTGTTACAGAGACGACAGCAGAGGCGTGATGCGCTCTTCCTCCGAGGAAGAGGACGATGACTGAAGTTGGCTAGCACGACTTGTATCTGCCTGCTTTGTTTACCAGCCTGCATGCTGTCAGCCTGATGCAGGGAGATAGAGGAGCTGTGCTCTGCTGTGTGAAAGGATGAGGACTGAAGTAATGGGTGACAGAAAAGAGGAAGTTCTGCCCATGTAGTTTGTAATTCAATGACTGTTCATATGTAATTAAAAGTATTTTATACAAAATGCACATCATAGGACTGTATTTACATAAAGACGTAGCTTTCACCACAGGTTGCATAGATTGTAGCATTCACAGCTCTCAGAGCAAAGAAAGGGACTCTTTGTTTGTTTGTTTGTTTTCTGCGGCCTCAAATGAACAGTAAACTGTTGAACATGCTTTGGGGTTTTTGTAATTTGTCCAAAGCAGAATCAACTAATTTGGGGTTTAATGGGACATTTAGTATCCTCGGCCAAGTCTGCCTGTTTGTGCTGCAAACCTTTCATAGAACATCATAAAAAATTAAAAATTCCCCCTCAAAGGAAAACATAAGACCAAGGAAATAATGAATGCATTCACACTGGGCGCCTTAATCACATGACAGCAGATGTTGATGTGAGTCTTCTGTGTTAAAACCACAATTCGCTTTAGATGGGATTACAAAAAGCACATCTTAGACACTTGTTTAATGCATTTCATGACAAAAATATAAATTGCCATGGTTGTAATAACATTTAAAAATGGAATAAAGAGCCTATAAAGTTAAACACAAATATTTGTAATGCTTATCATCTGGTTCATGCTGGATCAATAATCCAGCACATGTCCTGCCTTTAATAAAGCTTTCTGTGATTTAGGTCAAACTAAAGTATTAAAAAATGTAAATGACTAATATGGACTGAATTGTGGTGAAACTTAAATTATTTAATAAAGTTTAATCTTTATAGAAAAATATTTTCTCCACACCAGAACTTGATAAGAAAGGTTTATTGCTGCTGTTGTGTGGTCAGCTCTGGTCCAATTCAAGTTAGATTTAATGATTCAAGCAGTTCAAAGAATAATACATGGATCTCCCTCTGGTTATAAAACCAGTCAGCAGCAGTCTGCTGTAGCCAACTCCTGGGAGAGAGATTTATAGAGAATGTGCGTTTATCTGATTGGTCAAAACTATTGCGAAGCGGCCGTTGTTTACGTAGCAAAGTTCTGCTCTTCCTCTCCTCCCTCAGCTGGAGCTTCACATTGGGATGGACCGATACACCTGCCTCCCTCCCTCTAACCGGTTATCTAGTTTTCTGCATCTGAGGCAACATCTGTGAGGGCTTTTGTTTCTTGACCTTGCTCTGGTTCACGCACACAGCCTTCTGCCACACATGCACAAGCAACTTGATCATGGGAATCTATAACTTTTGTTTTGAGTGCTCAGTAGTGCAAATAACTATTAAACTGATCTAAAATTAATTACAGTCCCCATACCATTTGGCAGCACAGGTCTTGTAAACCAAACCCTTCTAGTCCTCACACCCCAACGTTGAGAATCTGTCACTGAACATATCCAAACTTTATGCCATAAAATGGAAAATATTCTTATGATCCGAGTCACCTCAGTTTTTCCTTCTATGAACTCTGATAATTCTTAGTGTATTCTCAAACACTCTTTCCTGTGTGCGAAGAGTATTTATTTAGCCAGCTCCTGTTATGGCTCACATGCAGATACACATTGGAAACCTAAGGAAAACTGACTTGACCAATTCTGCCAGCAGCTATAGTTTAACTCAGGGATGTCAGCCAAAGGGTAGACGGAGTGGATGGCTTTGTAAGATGTGAAACACACAAAGTAAAAATTGGGACTTTGTACTGCATGTTTTCTTCTTCTCACATCATGGATAAAATCAGAGCCTAAGGACTAAATTGTTGTTTCAGCGATCTTACTGACAAATTACAGTTCTACCTTCAAAGTAAGTCTTAGACAAATGATTAAATATTAAGTGTATCGTGAATCATGTCATCCAAGGAATCACGGTAACAGGGTTCTTTGATTTATCCTACTTAAATTTGTCACGTGGAAAACAGGTGGCTTGAATCAGTTTTATAAATTTAAATGTAATATTAAGCTTGGCGTGAATAAAAATGTACCCACTAATTGTTTATTAGACGAAAACGTGTAATCAGCTGAGTTTGAGAGGAATTTACGTTATGAAACTGAAGCCTGCCAGCAGTCAAACCAGCCTTTTACTTTACAAAACACATCTTTGGCTTTTTAAAAACAGATAAAACTGCCTTATGAGTTGTTGTTTTTTTTTTTTTAATTAATCCTATGTTAACATAGGATAACAAAACAAAAAAAAACCCCAAAAACATTTTCTAAAAACTGTTCCAACTGTTTTCTGAGCAAACAAAGAAACACAAACTCACCCCAGTGATATTTACACCATCATGCAAAAAATAAAAAATAAATAAATAAAAGAGCCAACCTGCTTCCCTCACACACCGAATTTATTACCAACATAAACATGACTAACAAGTCCAGAACAAGCTTTTTTTTTTTTTAATGTGAAACAAAGATTACAAGGATTTCACAAAAGTGGGGAAGGTGTTCCCAACCAGCATATCGACAAAAACAGTATGCTTCTACATTTGATTAAAAAAGGCTAAGACAAATACCATACCTTCGCTTGAACTTATAAAACTGACATTGCACCCTGTTGTTATTGTTACAAACACCACTAATGAAAACGTATGTTGGTAAAGGGCAAATGAAATGGAGTAGCATGTGCATAAGAGACATCGAGCATGAGCGCCTGGTATTCTACAGCTACTTATCAAAAAACAGGAGGTGAGGATAGTGTTGTCGGGCACGGGGAATGTAAATAGAGGGCAGGAGGGAGACACTGGGAGGAGGGCTTGTGACAAACAGTCCAAAATCTGAACTAAGAGCGGGAACGGGAACGAGAACGAGACTGGGAGCGGGATTTAGAGCGGGACTCCGATCTGGAGGCGGAGCGGGAACGGGAGCGGGCTTTGGCAGGTGAGGGGGAACGGGATTTGGACTTTGATTTAGACCTGGCTCTGGATTTGGACTCCTCAGGAGACTGAGAACGGGAACGAGAACGAGAGCGTGAGCCTCGCTCAGGCTCGCCGCCCTCGTCATCGCTCTTGGGCTCCTCCCGGCCCTTTGAAACAGATTTCCTTGACTGATCCTTAGCTCCAGATGCAGAACGAGATCTAGAGCGAGACCTGGAGCGAGAACGAGAGCGAGACCTGGACCTGGACTCCCCCTTCTTGCCCTTTTTCCCCTCTTTCTTGCTCTTTTTACTCTTGGGGCTGCGGCTCCGGCTGCGATCCTTGTTCTTCTGAGCGCCGTTGCTGCGCTCCTCCTCCTCCTTCTTGCCCTTTCCCTTATTCTTCTTGCTACGAGATCGGCTGCGGGAGCGAGAAGCAGCTCTGTGGACAAAAGACAAACCAAGTCTTATTGCACCAACCCATCCACCAAAATTCTCATTAACATAAAGCACTGAACAGCTGGGTAAAATTACTAGAATTTTAGGGGTTTTTCTAAGGTCTGTTTTCTCTGTTTCGATGTTCCGCAACACAAAAATGGAATGATTGTGAGCAGCTTTAAAAGCATCTGAGAGACATAATTTAAACAGAAATTTCTACATCCTGTCTGAAGACAGTAAAGAGAAAGTACGTAGTCTTCATGCTTTTTAAAGGCCACCATACAAAAAAAATAAATAAAAGACTTCTTGCCCTATAGAAGTCTACAGTAAGACAGCCCTCAGCGCTAACCTGAGTAAACACTTATGATCAATTTATGCGCTCAGTCATATTTAGTAACTAAGAATCAGAAATCACAAAGGAGGATTATTCAGGATCTGCTCATCCTTTGTTATTGTTAATGACAAAGGATTAGCCAGGCAGCATGCAGTCCTAATTGCAGTTGCAGTCCTGAAAACGCTCCGTTTGCAGCTAAGCACGACTTTACAAACCAATGCGCGATGTCATCGTCTTATGACAAAGACTGAAAGTTTGACCTGAAGATTTATTTACATTTTTGTACATGTATTATTAACCCCATTATGCATTCCTTATTTTTATATATACACCCACGATTTCAGTAACGGATGGTCATATTTAAACAAAGTCTGTATTAATGAAGTCAGGATAGAAGTAAACGCAACCCCTTATTTTCAGCTAGCTTTCCTCTACAGTGAGAACGAGAGATCTATCCTAATATGGCAATCTCAGTCTCACGGCTCTGGCTGTGAGCACAGGAGCTATAACGGCTTCTTACAGACAGGATGAAGTAATAAGTCACAACAAAGAGGATAAGAAAGAAAGATAAGCCTTGATTTGAATCATGCAAAGTAACTCTAGTAGAGTCTACGAATATGAAAGCTATAAATGAGCGTAACACGTTTCCTGTAACATACTTATAAAAACAAATGAACTGAACTGGATACAAAGTCTCAAGCTGTCTCAAGGCAGCTACTGAGAGGACAAATCGATCGAACATCTATCAGTTTCTGGACAAAACAGCAAAATAAAGTTTTTCTCACCTGGAGCGGGAGCGGCTGCGACTGCTGCTCTCACTGCGGCTGCGGCTCTTACGAGACCTGCGGCTCCTGGAGCGAGACCTGACAAAATATTATACCATTTATCGATCTTGGATCCGACTGCAGCAGCATGCAATTCCTAATATAATACCAAACAACAGTGCCTTTTTTACCTGGAACGGCTGCGGCTACGAGAATACGAGCGGCGGCGCCTGGCACCAGGACGGTCCTCAATGAGCCGGATCTTTCTGCCGTTCACCTCTGTGCCGTCGAGCTTCTCCAGGGCTCTCTTCATATCAGAGTAGAGCCTGAACTCGATCACCCCCTCATTCTTCCGGCCCTTGTGGGTGTCAGCGTAAGTCACTTCACCCGCCTGCCTCATGTAGTCCTACCAAGGAGAGGAAACAGATGAGATCATGAGAATGTGTCCACTGGAGGCTCTGACCAAACTGCATGTAAATATTTTACATAAAATCCATGAGAGCTTCTGAATCATGGATTCATATTACATCTTCCCTTATGGACAACCTGATCAGAATGGGTGTGTTGTGCTTTATGAATGTTTATATAATCATGTGGCCACAATAAAAACAAAAATCAAAATCTAATGCAACGTTCTTAAAGTTGGGTAAAATAAGGAAAAAAAATTTTTTTAAAAAAAGAAAAAGACGGGGAAAATCTCACTATGGGAAATGTTAAAACGCTGAAATAATGGTTCACTTCAATTTTTTTTTTTTTTTTTTTTTTTTTTTTTTTTTAAATCAGGACTGTAAGCCTTACTTCCTTCACAATAAGTATTTAATATGAGAGAGGAGGGTGAATTAAGCAAAAACATACCTTTAAGTCTTGCCAGCTACAGCGGCTGGAAAGATTCTCAACAATAAGCCGATAATCTGTCCGTATAGGTGGACCATATCTGTCTCTTCCTCCCCAGCGTCCATATCCACCTTTCAGGGTAACAAGGAAACAGAAGGAACAATGAGGACTGGAAAGCAACCGGGATGGTGCAGTCATACTAAACTTCCAGCTACACACTATTAAAATATATCAATAATCTCTTGGGAAAGAAAACAAAATAGGGAAAAAGCAAAAAGGCTGAAAAAAAGAGAAAAAGCTATTAATTCCTAAAAAGACCCTAATTATTTCTTTCTATTAGTCTTTCTTTAAATTTTAAGCCAACAAGAAGAAAAAAAAAACCCTATGGATATTAAATTTTGGTTGATGCTCAACAGGCCTATTTTAATAAGAAAAAAGAAAAGAAAAAAGCAATAAAAATCAAATTAATAACTGAAGGAGGAAGTACTTACGTTGAACTAAATCAAGTGTCTAATCTATCCTATCTAAAAACATTTCACTGATACAAAACATGTTGTTTTTTTTCAGGCACCTATAAGAGCTGAACCCACATCTGTTCCTAACCCCATGGCATCCTCACCACCCGGCCTGGGCCTAATGGGAAAAGCGGTCTTCATTCACAATGGCTCCCTTTTTTGGTCTGCCCAGGGGCCCAGAATGGTCAAACCACACTCTTGGAAAGGGGGGACACCATGGCCAGCAATAGGGGCAGGCAGTCAGCAAAGGACTCTTTCAATTAAAACATTGAGGTTCTTTGTTAAATCTTTACCTTTAAATTGACAATCACTTTAAATGAAATAAAAACGGAATAAGACATCAATAGATTACAAGATATTTGACAGTCAAATAGTTACTCTACAATGCTCAATCAATACATTTATACTGTTTTAATTAGTAAGCCAATTCCTGCATCATCACACATTCACATGTATTGTTAGTTTCAAATCCATCACATGGAAACCCAAGATATTTGAAGAAGTCATTGGTGGCTCTGGTGCACACAGATTTAATCACGTTACGACACCTCCTCCCACGCCTGCTGTTCTTTTCTGAGTAGAAGCTGTGAAGTGATGTATAGCAAAGCAATTCAAAACCAAATTACTGCTCTATCCAGAAACTCAGATGTACTCGCAGGCTAAGAGACCACTAGAAACCTAGAAGGCTCACTCAAGCCAGAACAATAGTGAAATGTGGACGGGTGGGAGTGTCTCAACGACCAAAACAAAGAAAATGAGGTCAGCGGCTTAGCAGGAATAATTCCCCTTTGGTTCTCAAAGAACGATCTAGAGGTATCGGGGATACACCTACCAGACACAAGGACCAGATATTGGTCAAATCCTGATTTGAAAAGCTTAATCAGTCCGTGATAACATGCCAAATTGTGGTTAAACTGTTAAATGTTCACTTTAGACAGCAGAGCAGCGCCATTTTCTTTCTTAGGTTCCACCTTGCCTGTTTCCAGCTTTCCATCACAGAAAGAAAGATGCCGCCATCTGTCAGGGACTGCATCGCAGAAGCAACTGTTAAGTAGTACATGAGTAAGATTTCCCCAATTCAAAAACACCACTAGAAACCAGGAATGCTCATTGAGATTGCAACAAAGGTGAACTGTGATGAAACTACTGTGAAGGTGTGACCCAGAAACGAAAATTGAATTAATAGAGAACAAACCAGCTTCACCTCACTCCACCCAATTCTAAGAACCAGCTACAGAAAAACCACCTCTGTCAGTTTCCACCATGAAATTATGATATAAACTGAATGCACTTTAGCCACCAAGGACCAGTTCTGCCCCCCATGAAATTTAAGAATTCCCTGAAATAAATGAGATTTCTTATAAATTATTATTCACGTGAAATACGGGAAATACACCGCTGGACACTTACTCCGCCCTCCTCCTCCTCCACCTCCTCCACCACCTCCTCCTCCACCACCACCACCACCACCATAGCCTCCATCACGACGTGGTCCCCTGGTGTGCTCCACAATGACCCTCTCTCCACACAGCTCTTTGCCGTTTAGGTCATATACTGCATCATCAGCATCACGGGGGTCGTCGAATTCAACGAACCCATACCTGCAGATGGAAATGAAACATGTTTAAATAAAAAGAAGAAAGGACTTTACAGCAGAGTTGCAGCAATGTAACAAGTTTACTGATGGCAGCAGGTAACTGAGCAGGATAAATTATTATTGTCCTTTAAATTAGGGCTGCTCGATTATGGCAAAAATGATAATCACGATTATTTTCACTGAAATTGAGATCACGATTATTTGACGATATTTATTTAACCCTTTAAGACCTACTATAGAACCAAGTCCACCAGAGCTTATATTATTGTTTTTACATGCTGTAGTGCCATTTGTGGGAGCATTTCAAGTTGCTATACATCAATACAACTGTTATAGCCCATATTTTAATAATATGTATGCATTAAGTCCATAGTAATTACATAAATTGCAAAAAAGTGCAATAAACTACAAAAAAAATTGAAAATCGCTTTTGTTTTGTTTACATATATTTCTACTTGGAGAAATTTAAGAGGCTTATCCCTCAAAACTTTAAATACAATAAAGTTGCAAAAAATAGTTTCCCACCACAGGAAATTTATTTTGAGTGTCTTCATAGTTTTATTTTGGAGATACAGCAATTTTTATATACTGCAGGAAAAACAAAAAACAATCCTATGATGCAAATTTGCAAAGAAAACAGCATGTGCATCATTTCACTGTGGGAAGTGTTACGAACAGCTGATAGGAACGTCAAAGCGTGTTTCTGGAATATTATGTTTTTGTTCCTGCAAGAGCTTTTTATGCAATTTTTGCAAAGCTATATGTGGAACGAAACCATGACCGAGGACAAGCTGATGGCATCAGATGTAAGTACAACTCCTCCGGTTTCATATGCAAAACAAATTATTGCGCTAGCTTACATGGTTCAGGTTCTACAGGGATTTAAAAATAGTTACGCAAAACGGAGCGTGCTGCTCTGACCGGCTTTAAAGGGTTAACAATGACTTTAAAAAATAATATAAAATAGTGTGCAACACCACTGAAGTTTTTTTTTTTAACTCTCTTTTCAACCAACGGCAGTCACTCTCCAAATAACTTCTGCTTAGCTTTCCGAGCTTCCCTCGGGTCCTCTTAATCAGCGGTCTCCAACCTTTTTTGCGCCACGGACGGTTTATGCCCGACAATATTTTCACGGACCGGCCTTTAAGGTGTTGCGGATAAATGAGGGAGGGGCTAATAATCGGCTCAGTTATTTTTAATGATCGTTGAAAGCCCAGATCGTAATCGTGATTAAAATTCGATTAATTGAGCAGCCCTACTTTAAATCCAACATTTTACATCTTTTACTGTTATCTGTGTTTTATGATATAATACTTTATGCAAATTTTACTTAAGTTTTGCTCCTGTTTAGTTTTTTTTTTACTGACAAGTTGTGTGTGTGTTGTTGTTTTTTTAACTTGGATGATTTATTTTATTTTAGTAATATAAATTTTAACCTTTTTCCTATTGTTTTTTTCTAAACATTTTCATGTTATCAAGCTTTTTATGTTTTTTTTATGTTTTTATATATTATTATTATTGAATTACTACATTTTATTAAGCTATTCGACTTCCTTGAACCAATTTTTTATTATACCTCTCATTTAATATTGTTGGCTGTTGTAACGCATAAATTTCTCAATACACCATTTTACTTCCTCAAATGTGAACAAATACAAATTTTTGTTGTGCATTTTTGTAAATTTTATATCTCAGCCATCAGTGGGTATTTTTCCACAGCTTTGTGACACATACAGACCAAGTAATCGAACTTTACAGACTATTCAATCATATTATAGAGACAATAAAACCATCCGGTTGGAGCCTTAGATTTTAGCGGCCCTACACGTTAATTTGTTCAGATTAGCGCCAGTACGACTGCAAAGAGATATTTAACGTAAAGGAAGGCTATGCATACGGTTGAAACTATTCCCCTACAGTTTCATATTGCGTTAAAAATATAACGGTGGGTGAAGTTACAGCTGCAGCAGACCGTTTGCTTGTAATGCACACAGCCGCCTTTGACTTTGCCACGTCCAACATTAGCTCGCTAGCGATTTGGCGCTAACGCAAACAATAACCAACAATAAAGATGGGAAAATTTAGCTTGACCTTTACATCCTTTACATCGATAAAACAAGCACTCGTGTAAAACGAAGGCGTACTTTAAGGAAAAAAAAACACGCGTAATAACGGGAAAAGCGAAATTTGGTGTAGAGTAGCTATATTAGCATTAGCAAGTCTGACCCGCTTTGGATTCAACAAGGCCGTACGCGGCCCTTCAAGCACCAATTTCCATGTTAAACACGATTAATTCACAGCATCGTTACCCGTTTTTCAAGTCGACTTCGAGTATCTTCCCGTAGCCTTTAAAGAACCTCTCTACGTCCTTCTCTCTGGCTCTGTAGCTCAACCTTCCGATATACACCCGCGACATGCTGCTGCCTCTTCCGAGCGTGCTGCCGAAACGACAAACCCGACAACAACCAAGCGGCTACAGCGCAGGCGTGAGACTGCCGCCATACATAAGGCCCTCCTTTGATATGATAGGCCACGACTAAAAGGGGGTTGTCTTAGTTTTTTTAACTTTAGTTTTTAGAAAATATATCGTGCGATTAGGCGATTTTAAGAATGAATGAAAATAACTTTTTACAGTTAGACCAGAGCCACCGTTGGATAGGAGTTTCCATTCCTAGTTATCACAGACATTGTGGGGTTATTATTGAACCAGAACTATTTGTGCGAATGTCTATCTCAGTTTTTGTGTGCATATTAAAATCTGTGTGTGACTATTCAGATCACTGTGTATGTAATCGGATTTCTAAGTACGCAAATAAATCCACAAGCATACACAGCTATGACAAGCTTTGTTTAAAACACTGAAACTATCGGGTGCAATTCACGCAAAGGTACAACAGTGGGAGATCGGCCAGTTAAGGATTTGCGACAAGACGCACTCCTTGATGGCACCGGACTACAAACAACAAATAGACATTAAAAGCGTAGTTAAACAACTACAGAAACTTTGTGAGAGTGTATAAGAAACAAGTATTTTTTGTGGCCCAAGAGTACTGCAATTAGGAGGCCGTTGCTGGAAATTCTCTGAAACTGCTAGCCTCATGCCTGAAATAAAAATGGCGAATGTCGGAAAGCGGTGCTCTGACTGTTGTGATGCGTTTAAAACCTGCATGAGCCGCGGTGGGCGTGGCCAACAATCACACAAACACACCCGTTCTTCTCTTTGGAAGTATTTTTTAGTTTTTAAACGTAATTTATTTGTCTTGGGGCGTAACATTAATTTACTGGAGCTCAAAATGTCAAACCCTCTGCAACCTCTCTTCATCGTGGTGAAGAAGACTGTGGAGCCACTTTGGGAGGAAAATAACGGTACACGACGTTAGCTGAAGGTTAGCTTCTCAGAAACAGGTAGCTCGAGTGGACAGCTAGCTGCTGAGAGAGGGAGGCTCAGCCATGGAGCGCGGAACTTTTTCAAAGTACTCCTGGACCGACTTCGTCTTCTCCGTGATCGGAGTGTGCACTTTTCTCGTAGACTGGGGCTCCGATGTTTGGGTGGCCACTGAGTTTTACTGCCGAGGAGACTTCTTCTGGTTCGGAGTCCTGGTTGGCCTCATGGTCCTGTCGTCCGTCGTGGTCCAGATGTTCAGCTGGTTCTGGTTCAAGTACGACCGAGAGCTGCCGGGCTTCAGCGAACACACTGGGGCGAAAAGCGTGCTCTTCGGGGACAGAGTGAAGTTGTCTTGCCTGCTGCATGTTCTACAACTGGGCTTCCTCTTTAGGTAAACCCGCAGGTGCTTTAACGCAGAGTTCCCAACTCTCAGCTGTCACCGTAAGGAGAAGACGAAATGGCAGGATTTTATGGAAGTGTGGCAAGGTTAAAGCAGTTTTATTTTAGCTTTAACACTAGGTTTTTCATGTTTGAACAGCAACAGTGCACAGTCCATAAATTTAAAACTGAAATAAAATTGTAATTTGATAAACATCGGGGTAATGCAGCTGCTTGATTGTTCGGATGCGCGTCTTCTCCTTTTGAGTTTAAGACTCGTATTAAAACATATTTATTTGCTGAAGCCTCTGGCACCTTTTGAAAGGTTGGCTCCATTTTTCTGTTTTCTCTAATTCTCTATTTTTTTTAATGTTTGATTTTATTTTCTGTTTATGCTATTTTATATGTACAGCACTTTGTGAACCCCGGTTTATTTTAAAGTACTTTATGAATAAAGGTGTTATGGTATAGTAGTACCTGTTTTGAACATTTTAAAGTTTGGCAATGATAAATAAACTCAGGGTGCTAATAATTTAAAACAGTAAAACATCCCGGGTTTTAGCTTTAGGAACTAAGTAAATGTAAAACACATCTGTTAAGTGTTAGTAAGGTCATTTCATGTAATCACTCCGAATTCATCACTGAATCTGTTTCTCAATAAGTGTTTCAACAGCTAAGGCCTCTGCCTGTTTGTTGTGAAAGTTTCCTTAGCATAGTTTTTTCACTTTCTTTATTTTTTAATCAAAAATGAAACCATATATTTTTCTTTAAAACACCTCAAGCCATGTACAAATGTCAGTGTCAGGTGTGGTAAGTTGTAAATCCAGTAAGTCTGAGCACAACTGACTGCATAAAAATGAATTAATGAGGTATGAAAAGCTCAGTCACACTGTTTTTGACCTCTCCTAATGAATCACACCCGATTATTTCCATGAGTTTGGTTTGTTCATTGCTGTGTCATTTTCTCACGCTGCTCTCCCATCCGCACTCAGACACATTTCCGCCATACGTCAGGGCTTTAGAGTCTGGTGGAGGAAAGAGGAAGGGTCAGAGTATGCCGTTTACCTGACACATGACCTGAGCATGCTCCGTCTTATCGAGACCTTCTGTGAGAGCGCACCTCAGCTCACCCTGATGATCCACGTCATACTTCGCACCAACAAGGCCAGGACAGTTCAGTGTGAGTTCTCTCTCTGTGAACAGCAAGCAAACATCACAGTTGTGCACTTGTTCACTTCCTCTTGGTTTGACTTCTGTTTTTCAGTTGTAAGTATTGCTGCTTCAACCACCTCCATAGCCTGGATGGTAGTGGATTACCACCGCTGCCTGCGTGCCTTCCTCATAGAGAAAGCCAAGCAGGGATGGGGGTCCTCCTTAATCTATTTCCTGTGGAATCTGCTGCTAATCGCTCCACGGGTGGTGGCACTCGCCCTGTTCTCCTCTGTCCTTCCTGGATACATCGCCGCCCATTTTCTGATGCTGTGGTTCGTCTTTGTGCTGTGGGCGTGGCAACAGAGGACAAACTTCATGGACAGCGTGGGTGGGGAGTGGCTGTACCGGTCCACCGTGGGGCTCATCTGGTACTTCAGCTGGTTTAACGTGGCTGAGGGTCAGACCCGTGGCAGGAGTCTAATCTACCATTCCTTCATGACCATAGATGGGGTGATCCTGCTGGTGACCTGGTGGTGCTACAGAGACCTGGTCCAGACTGATGCGTTCGTCCTCCCACTTCTCATCTTTCTACCTCTCACTTACCTCCTGGGGCTGCTTTTTAAAACTCTGTACTACTGCTGTTTCCACCCTAAACTGTGGAGACCTCTGGGGAGGGAGCCCGGACTGCCCAGTGATCTGCCTGATGCAGAAGTGTCCTTTAGAGACTTTTCCATCCAGGACAGCACCCCGTCCTCTACACTTGTCAACAAACGCATGGCCTGCCACGCCACTAATTTTTACACAGATCAAAGAGTCCTCCGAACCCCTCACGGCACAAACGGTGCCGAGCCCCCTCATCTGTGATGTTTGGCTTTTTACTGAATGAAGCATCTGTTTCTGTTTCTCAGATTTGTGCTGCAGTTTTTTTCTGCAGGCTTAGTGCACTAAAATAGTTTTCCAATGTGCACTAAAACTCTGAAGTTTCCCAGCCAAAGTGCACTTAAGAACATAAATGATTGACAAATTAAGATCAGACATTAGCTGGTCTCCAACTTGTAGCTTCATAGTCCAATGTGCACATAGGACAATATCACCTCTGCAAATGCGAATATTCCCACTAGTGCAAACATGTCTGAAGTGAACCATTCCCTTCTGTGGCTTCAAAGTACAGATTCTAAAATCGTACATGAAACAAGAAACTTGCAATAATAAACTTGTATTTACACTAAGTGTACTTTTACATTCAAGCATAAACATACAGACAGTGTTTATATTGTAATAAAGGGGATTTCTGGATACATTTTTAACTGAAGTGTCAAATGAAATACCTGATGAGCACTCAGCTCAGTCCAGTGTTTACACAAAGATGCTCCCACAGTGGCTTCTTACAACCACAAATACTGTACTGTAACTATACAAACACTAGTCAGCCACAACATTAACACCACTTGCCTAATTATGTGCCTCATGCTGTCAAAGCCTCTCAGACCTGCTGGGTTACCAACACAGGAGCTGTGAGAGCGTTTGGTGGTTGGTAGGTTTATGGGTGTTCTCAGCAAATACAAAATCTGCTAAAGGTTTTAGTGTTGTGGCTAATGTATAAATTACGTTAGAAAAAAAATTGCATACAGCTTTAATTTTTCATTCTGTTTGAAGCAGGAATAGTTTCATAAGCTAAACCAAATCTGTTTGTGTGCTTTTTAATTGTGTTTTATTACTCCAGCCTGTTAGTAGCCTAAATATTACTGTTAAGTGTGAGCAGAAAGACAGTTTTTCTATATAGGTGTTATAGTTCAGTTAACTTTAGGATTTCTAGAAATAGATTTAGAATAGAATTGTATTTATTCAATATGTAATTATAAAAACTAAGCTATAAATGGTTTAATAAAGAGACTTGGTTAAAGAGTAAAATAAAAACAGCAATCTTACATTTGTACATTGTTTCTAGTGGGTTTTCTTTTTTACTAAAAGTGTGGGAGATCTGGATTTTCCCTCTAAATTGGAATTTGTTTTTGAAACACTGCAAAACTTGTTTCTGAGGTTTTAAATTACCTTTGTTGTCGTGTGTGTGTTTTATTTTATCTTGTTAGAGTTGCTGCTGGAACCTTTTTGAATGTAAATTTCACTGTAAGTTCGTTCGTTCATAGTTTCTTTTCAAAAGCTGGTCAAGTGTTTTAAATCCACTAGCTTGGTTTCTACTTTTTTCTTTTGTGTTGTAAAGCAAGTTCAGCTAACCTGCTGATTTGTCACAGACACGAATGTTTTAGATATTTCTCTGCATCTAGCTGCCAAATCTAGTGTTATTGTCGCTCATCCATCCACTATCTGTTTAGCTTGTTCAAATATGTCATGTGCCAAGATACTTTTACTTTAGTATACATACAGAGCTGAAAGCACATCCATCTCCCAGCTTTTTCAGTAAACCTGCCTCCACATCATCATTTACATCATTTACAATATGTTGAAACTCTGTTCTGTAAAAGAGTTGATAGTGTTTGGAGCCACTTTTTGGCATGCTGTCAGCTGGTATGAAAGGTTAAGGGGATTACTTCCTTTTAAACCTTTACCTCATCTGTCCCGTGCAATTATTAAAGTAGTACCTAAGTTAAGTCACTTCTTTTTGTTTTTGTGTCTTTCTGCAAACTCAGATTACGAGCATCCGCACATCTTTTTACTGTAAGTCATTGGCTTACAGTAAAAAGATCTGGGCTTCCCCTTTAGGTAAACCAGCGGGTGCATTAATGCAGTGCTCCCACCTCACAGCTGTCAACCTGTGCCAGGTAAGGAGAAGACTAAAGGGCAGGAGTTCTGGATGATGCTTAAAATATCCAGAAAGGAATTTCAGTTTCAGTCTTTCTGAAAGTCATCCAAATACGATGTTTACTGTTAACGGGATATTCGCCAGCAGGAGGTGTGTATGTGTGTGAATTAACACAATGTGCCTTTAAGATAAGTTTCAGGACACGGGCTGGTTGGTAGGAGGGGTTTTGAAACTCTCAAATCTTGAGTTTACTTTCGTTATCTGTCTATATAAGTTGTCTTTCAGCTCATGCATCACATGCAGCTGTGTTAGAGGCACGCAGAGAGACGGGTGAACATGTCAGGCACTCAGGCTAACTTTAAATACTCCTGCTGGGACTTCCTCTTCACTTGTGTGGGCCTGCCGCTGTACCTGGTTGACATAGGGCTGGATATATGGACCGCTGTGTCCTTCTATAAGGAAAAGGCCTACGTGTGCCTTGCTGTTCTGCTGTTTCTGCTCCTGGTCTCGTCACTGCTCACTCAGGCTTACAGCTGGCTTTGGTATAGCTATGACAAGTTCAGGATGAAGACAAAGGTCGAGGGCTGGCCTACCAAGAGGCTGCTCAAACTGTTGCATGTTTTCCAGCTGGGCATCTACTTCAGGTAGTATTAAATTAATAAAGCGTGTTTAAAGTGCCTGTAGTGCAAGAACTCCATCAGGTTTGTGCATTAAACCACAAGAGTACAGATTTCATCATCTGTAGTGCTGTGGTTCTGTCAGTTTCATTTTATTTTATTTTTGAACTATTATGTGAAAATCAGAATTTATAACTTCCCGAATTCCCGAGTCATGCTTTAATTTTCTCTGTTTCACAAGATAAGCTACATTTTGTTTTCTTTCCTTCACTGTGTGTCGGGCAAACTGATTTTATTTGCTCACTTGCTTCCATAAGAAGAATGCTTTCAGGAAAATTCAACTAGGCGTGTTTGACATTTGGATTTGCTTTACCTGGTTGTGACTCATTTATTATATTTTGGCTCTCAGGCACGCAGGAGTCCTGGAAAAGGCTGTAGAAAGCTTCCGCACAAAGCTCCCTGACCCTGAGAGTGTAGCTGTGTTTCTGAGCCAAGATCTGAGCATGTTGCGAATCGTAGAGACGTTTTCAGAGAGCGCCCCACAGCTCACACTCATGCTCACCATCATTCTGCAGCAGGGCCATCTGGATCCTGTTACAGGTACAGTTTATTACTCGAGTTAAAGTCATGTATGTTTTGGGCAGAAATAGTGACACTGTAAAATAAATTCTTAATGAAAAACTAAATGGGGTGGCTCATTGCTACTTTAAAGTAAGTTTAAAGTCTTCAGATTATTAAAGATCAGCTCACCCATATTCACTTCAACTAAATCGAAGTATTTTTATGCTAGCAGTGTACTTTCTTAGACATAGAGTATGCACTTTTTGTACACAGTACAAATACAATATGCACAATACAAAAGTATTCAGCCACAGATCTTTGATCTCAGTGCCACCGTGTACAAAATAATTAAGGTAGCTAGCCACGCTGTCAAAAACATTTTTAAAAGAATGCTTTGTTCTAAAGAGCTCACTCAATTCAAGTGTGGTGCTGTAATATGAAGCCATAGTTCAGTAACCATTCAGTTTGTGAAATGTCTCCCCTCCCAGATATTCCTTTATCATCTGTAAGTGAAATTACTCCAACCTCAGTGTTTAGGAACCTCAGTAACCTGGACAGGAAGTGGCAGACCACATAAAGTTACACAACAGGGTCACCACGTGCTGAAACATTTGCCAGCGCTCGGCTAAAAGATTTAAAAACAAAGCCATGTTTATTGTACTTACATGTTTTTGTTTAAAGTATTATTCCTGATTAATTTCTGCCACATGCACAAAAAACTGATAAGAGTGAGAGACCAAAAACATGTATTTGGCCTAGAACGATTAGCCTAATCCAAACAAATACAGACACATGTTCTTCTGTGCCACAGTTTAAAAAAAAAAACTTTTTAAAAAAAGTAATGTAATTTGTGTCCTTTGTAACTCCAGCTACCGATCACATGCATATCTAAAAATGTCTTGTGCAGGAAAATCCCTAACCATTAAAAGGAACAATGCTTGAAGAGGAACCCAAGACAGGTCATTGTCTTCCACATGACCCTCACAGAATCAGCTGATTTCCTTGTATAAGAACTCTGGTATATTTGTTGAAATCATGCAAAACTTTACCTTCATACTACGAATGCTTTGTGAGTTACAGGCTGGTGAAGTACATGGGAGTGGTTTTAAATGTGATGTTGTTGATCTTCGATAACTCTTAAATACAGGCGATATCCACGTGAATTATTCAGCGCTGAAAAACATGTTTGAGCTCAAATCAATTTTACACCCACTTCAAATGTTACAAATTGAAAGCAGACTTTTTAAAATAACCACTAGTCTAATGGCATAAACCAGTGTTTCAATCACAAACCTGGACCAGTTTAATATCTGTGATGCTTGGGATGCATGGGATCCTTGTTCTTTTTCCTGATCATTCAGTTGGGAAAACTTAACAAAGTGCTTTTTAGGTTATTTTTATGTGAGTGATGGGGCCTGATCCAAACAGTTCTACCATATCAAAGGTCTGATTTTTATCTGCATTTTGAAGCCAACATTTTCAAATGTGTTTTTTCAGACCTAAAATTTTCATATGTGACTCTGTTGAAAACTGAGGCCTATGCTAGACTTTTGCACAACCTGAACCTAGAATTTCTCTAAATATACCAAAGTTATGATACATTAAAAGTCTGCTGATTCTGGGACCAGTTTGCTTGTCTTTATGTGGAGTGGCACACTTCACAACATTTCTCTTTGCTTGTTCTGACGCTGCCTCTCGTTCTCCCTCAGTTCTAAAAGCCGTCGGCTCAGCCTCAGCTATCGCCTGCACTGTGACGACCTACCATCGCTCGCTGCGCTCCTTCCTGCCTGCCAAAGAAAACCAGAAGATATCCTCATCAGTCATCTACTTCATCTGGAACCTGGTTCTCATCTCTTCTCGTCTCACTGCTCTCGCTCTTTTCGCCTCCGTGCTGCCCTGCTTCATCTTTGCCCACTTCATCTGCT